TGGTCAGAGGCGAGCGTTGCGAAAACGAGTGGCTGAAGAGGAGCCGGACAGGCGGCTTCGATTTCCCGACGAACAATGCGTGTGACGTTGTCATACGTGGGGGACTGGCGGGCGGCTTCACACGATGAGGTCGCGGCCGTGGTGGGCAGCCTGGTGAATCGCTGAGTAATATGGCGGCTCTTGGCTTCTTCGAACCACCGGCTCTCTTTAATGATGGCGTCGACGGTGGCAACGTTGTTGTAAACTAGAAGATTAAATGCGTCGTCTGCTATGCCTTTCAGCACATGGGCCACTTTCTCCGACTCACTCATGTGCTCGTCAAACTGGCGGCATAGGGCGATGACGTCGTGAATGTACGCGACGTACGACTCCGTCGACGTCTGTGCACGAGCCGCCAGTTGATTCCGCGCTGCGATCTGCCGCCCAACGGTGTCGCCAAAAAGGTCGCGGATCTTCTCTTTAAAAGAGTCCCAGCTCGTAATCTCCGCTTCATGCGTCTCGAACCACACTCGCGGTGGGCCATCGAGGTAAAAAAGCACATTGGCAAGCATAAGAGTCGGGTCCCCCCTTTAGCTTGCGCTGACCCATTCGTACTGGTTGATCCATTTGTCGACGTCAACGCCATCCTGACCGGAAAATACACCGGGATCACGAGCAGGATGTAGAACGACGTATGTAGAAGTCAAGGTAGGGGCAGGTGGCGAAGACGATGGTTGTTCAACCTGTGACATAGTTGGACCTATGATGATGCAGCCGTTGCGGAGCTTCGTGATGAAGACGGGGAAGTACCCAGCACCACCACTACAAAGCTGTTACGAAAAAATGACACGAGGTGTGTCTATTTAAAATCTATATGCAAACTGATGCGTATGGCGTCGACTAAGATGGAAGACAGCACGCACAACCGACAGACCACTTCCTCGTTGTCGTCTTCTGACCGCTGATACGTCAGCTACGTAGCAATATTTACAGCAGTCCTAAATTCAGAAAGCATAAATTCCACACGCTGTTTCACAAAACCCTCGCTATAACGGGCAACCGGGAGCTAGTGATTGGAGGAGATTTCAACGCCCCACGCAGTGCATGGGTATACAGGATCGAAACCCAGAAAGGCAGGAACTTGTGGTTGGACGCACAGAAGGGCCTGACGCTCGTGACCAATGCATTCATTCCAACAAGAACAGGTACTAGCGTTTGTGCGGATACCACGCCAGAATTGACATTCACCAAAAACATACTGCACACGCAGTGGACCAATACGCAACATGACTTGGGAAGCGATCATTTTATACTTGAAATAACGGTGAGGGCATGGCTGTGGAAGGCAAAAGGCAGACAACTTAAACTTGTCGACTGGGACAAGTTCTGGAACATCAGAGAGGAGCCCGACGAAATGATACAGAGTATTGAGAAATGCACCGAAAAGTTAAAACGAGACGTTGAGGCAGCTACGCAAACGGTGCCACCGGAGGCGCAGCCAGAGTGTGTAGACAGTAAGCTTTTCCACATGTGGGAAGCTAAGTAATCTAGGTTCACAACGGAGGTGGAAAAAACAAAAGCACAGCCCCGCCGTGGTGGTCTAGTGGCTAAGGTACTCGGCTGCTGACCCGCAGGTCGCGGGTTCGATTCCCGGCTGCGGCGGCTGCATTTCCGATGGAGGCGGAAATACTGTAGGCCCGTGTACTCAGATTTGGGTGCACGTTAAAGAACCCCAGGTGGTCAAAATTTCCGGAGTCCTCCACTACGGCGTCTCTCATAATCAAATGGTGGTTTTGGACGTTGAACCCTACAAATCAATCAATGAAAAACAAAAGCACAACCGGACACTTTGTAGAAGGATTGCTAAATTGAACAGGGATATAGAGCAATACGCCCAGCAGCTGTGCAGACAACAGTGGGAGGAAAAATGCAATGACATGGACAACCAGAAAAGAATGGCGAAAACGTGGAACATCCTTAGACATTTCTTGAACCCGGACGGAAACAAGTTGGCAGAAAGGCACAATATTAATCGGTTAATGCAAAAGTATCAAGGTACAGAGTATAAGGTACTTCCTGAATGAAATCAAGAAAACATACATCTCTCAAGCGCTTCCCGTTACACACCCTGATTACATAGGGCTGGCAAATGATGATTTAGACAACGACATCGGTGATGCAGAAGTGAGGGCTGCCTTGCAAAAACTCAATACTAGATCAGAACCTGGACTGGATGGCATAACTAACAAAACGCTACGCAATTTGGATGACGAGTCTATAGCTAAGTTAACTGAAATTATCAACAAATCATGGTAGGCCGGACAGGTTCCCTTTGAAAGACGGCAAAAATTGTGTTAATACCCTAGCCAGGAAAGCGACTGCAGATTGTGGACCTGAGACCCATATCTCTCACATCTTGCGTGGGGAAACTCATGGTGCACGTAATTCTGGAGAGGATAACTACCTATCTCCAGGACCGGGATGCTCTTCCACCCACAATGATAGGGTTCAGGAGGAACCTCTCAACGCAAGACGCAACGCTACAGACAAAACGTCACATTATAGATCATCCGGGAACAGAGACAAAGGCCATTCTAGGGTAAGACCTCAAGAAGGCCTTTGATATTGTAACCTATGCAACGGTGCTAAGAAGGGTAAACGATCTAGGTCTGGCACAACAGACGTAGAATTATGTGCGTAATTTTCTGAGAGGAAGGAAAGCAAAGATCATGATAGGGGGCCTAGTTTCGAAAGAAAATGAGACGGGCAGTGCAGGCACGCCGCAAGGCTTGGTATTATCGCCTATGTTATTCAATCTGGCCCTAATTGGACTGCCAACCAAACTTCAAGCAATCGAAGGACTGAATCATACAATATATGCAGACGACATCATTCTATGGGGGAGAAGTGGGAGTGATGGTCAAATAGAGGGAACGCTTTAAACAGCAGTCGAAACGGTCGAGCGGTATCTGGAAGTTACTGGGCTAGCCTGCTCTGCGGAAAAGTCGGAGCTGTTGCTGTGCAGACCTGCTCGTTGAGGTCGCAAATCAGGCAACTGCCTGCAAGAACTCGCTCATAGAGAAGACATACAATTAAGAACAGCCGATGGAAAAACCATACCCATAGTCGACAGGATCAGGGTACCGGGTCTGCTCATCGAAGCCAAGGGCAACAATGAAGAAACCCTCAGACGACTGGATGCAACTGTAGCCCAAATAATGAGGCTCATAAAAAGGATAGCAACTAAGCACAGTGACATGAGGGAGGAAAACACGATGAGGGTAATATGGGCATTCATGATACGTAGCGCCGTACTTAAAATGGCAAGTCGCAAAAAGATCAATTTAGACTGCCTCATTCGAAAAATATTCAAACTAGCCATAGGGCTACCGATTTGCACAAGCACCGACAAACTGCTACAGCTAGGCCTGCACAATACTATAGATAAGCTCATTCAGGCACAGCGTATGGCGCAATATGAACGTCTCTCTAAGACACGAGCAGGAAGACATATCCTAGAGCGACTAGGCATAACGTATCACACAAAACACGGCGTCAAGGTGGACATCCCAAGAGAGACCAGGAAAACAATGATGATACCTCCCTACCTCCCTTGCCAAACAACATGCACCCCGAACACAATAAGGCCAGACGAGAGACAAGAGCAAAGCAAATACAAAAAAGGTTTGGTAATGATAAGGACGCAGTTTTTGTAGAGGCTGCTCTATACAAGCGCAGATGGCGGTTCACGGCAGCCGTAATTGATAGCAACATACTCTGTACGACATGCGTGACGATATGCACCACAAGTACCGAGACAGCGGAAGAAGTAGCCATAGCGCTTGCAGTAGCTCAGGACAAACGCAACCGTAATAGTCAGTGACTCTCAAACGGCAGTGAAAAACTTTGCCAACGGCCGCATCTCCCCGGAGGCACTCTACGTATTATACAAAAAGGGTGTCGAACAAGCCCCAGAAATACATACATTATATGGACACCTGCTCACACCATCGCGGGCCGCAGCAACAACGGGGCTGTACATGACGCAGCTCGAGGGCTCACAGATCGAGCTGCCCTCTCAAGTGCCGCGTTAGCCTCCTCCAGTGATTACGGCGCGGCAGACGAGTGGGAGTGGGAAAACAGAATGACCAGATCCAGTGACACTAAAAAACATAGACTACAGAGGGGCATAACCTGCTCCCTCACCCAAAATTAACAAAGAGACAGTCTGTCGAATAGCGGCAGTTACAAACTAGGACGTATCTGAATCCTTCACTCTCGCACATTATATATCCTGGTATACACAAAACGTACAGGTTCAAGTGTTGCGACTCCAGAGCCACTCCGCAGCATATCTTATGGGAATGTAGAGGAATTAGTGCCCATAACAAGTACATGGCCTATGGTTAGAGCCTTCGCGCGCGCTGGGAAGCCACAAGACCAAACGTTGGCCGTCCAGCGGGCCGAAGAAGCCGCCAGGACCCATAGACACCTGGCCGTAACCTAGGCGGGGCTATTCACCCACACCATCTACTCGCCGGACTCTGAATAAAGTTTTTTCCTCCATTACAAACGCGTTTTTTAAAGTTTTCTATATCTATTCCTTTCGTGCTTTTTTACTTACATTTTATTTCCTCGTTTGTTTTGTTTGCTTCTGTTGCTATTCTTCCTTACTATTTCAGAGAAAGGTCGGTGATCGCACCCTATGACATAATGTGTGTGGAAAGGGCACACTCTTTTAGCGAAAAAAAGGGGAAAGGGGGGGGGGCAAATGATTTCTAGATACAAGGGCTCCGAATGCGTTCAGCTTGCGTCTGTAGCATATAATTTGCTCATGAAGTGCCTTGAACTCACGAGAAATAATTGACTACCAACTTGGCACAAGGAAAACGTGATTCCCAACGAAGGAAAGCGCCCCCTAGTTATCCCTCTTCCCACCTAATTCGCGCAATATTCGCAAAGTTTGCCACGTCCTGCTGCCAATGAGATTCGGACACCCGTTGCGGCACAGGGACGCTCACATCTTGATGAGCGGCGCATGGTTCATGTGGCTGGCCAGGACGTCGGCCTTGTCCGAGTGTCCGCCGTTGTTGTTGGCCCTGGCCTCGTTCGCTGCCTCGTCCTGACTGGCCCCACCACCGTTCTGCTCGACGTCCCGCTGCTGCTGACGCCGCTTGCGCATGCGCCGCCGCCTACGCCGCCGCCTCAGGCGCCGCTTCCGCTCCTGGCGGAGGCGCTTGCACCTCTCTTCCTCGTCCTCTTCAGCGTCTTCCTCCTCTTCCTCTTCCTCCTGCACAGCAGAAGCGGAAGTCAGCTAAGAGACTCCCCGGACCGGCAGTCATGCGCAGAGCTCCTACGAGCTTTATTGCTGGAAAACCTACTACGATGTTTATCATTATGAGAAGCTCACACAAGAGACAAAGTCATTAACGAGCCACAAGAGCATATATATGGGAGCAACACCACTTCGCACTTTTTTTGTTTAGAGAAAAATAGCTGAAGGCGTAAAAGAAACGAGTATGTAGAAGGCAGTGGTCCCGGCCGACAATAAACAGGAGAATACGACGAGAACACACATATGATATATATATATATATATATATATATATATATATATATATATATATATATATATATATATATATATATATATATATATATATATATATTCATCAGCCTGACTACGTCCACTGCAGGCCAAAGGCCTCTCCGATGTCTATATTCCGCCAATCAACTCGGTCCTGTGCTTGCTGCCGCCAATATATACCCGCAAACTTCTTAATATCATCTGCCCACCTAACCTTCTGTCTCCCCCTATCCCGCTTGCCTTCCCTGGGAATCCAGTTAGTTACCCTTAATGACCAGCGGTTATCCTATCTACGCGCTACATGCCCGACCCATGTCCTTTCCTCTTTTTGATTTCAACTATGATATCGTTAACCCCCGTTTGTTCCCTAATACACTCTGTTCTCTTCTTGTCTCTTAAGGTTTCACCTACCATCTTCTTTTTCATTGCTCGCTGCGTCGTCCTCAATTTCAGCTGAACCCTCTTTGTAAGTCTCCTAGCCAATTACCGGCAAGACGCAGCTGTTATATACCTTCCCGTTGAGGGATCATGGCAATCTACCTGTCATGATTTGAGAGTGCTTACCAAATGTGCTCCACCCCATTCTTATTCTTCTAGTTGCATTATTCTCGTGGTTCGGCTCTGCGGTTATTACCTGCCCTAAGTAAATATAGTGTTTTACAACTCTAAGTGCACAATTACAAAAACTATACGAAAAACTATACGCAAAACTCTGTACAAAAACTCTCCAGCAACAACGCAAACCTGATTGATAGATATGTGGGGTTTAACGTCCCAAAACCACCATATGATTATGAGAGACGCCGTAGTGGAGGGCTCCAGAAATTTCGACCACCTGGGGTTCTTTAACGTGCACCCAAATCTGAGTACACGGGCCTACAACATTTCCGCCTCCATCGGAAAGGCAGCCGCTGCAGCCGGGATTCGAACCCGCGACGTGCGGGTCAGCAGCAACGCAAACTTAGGAGACTGAAAAAATAAAAAGGCCAGAAATTCGTTTTGTTCTTCACTAGATTCTATTGTTACATTAGCAAAAAACAGAAATTTCAAATTCGAAGGGATAAGGCAAAGTATTATGGTCTATCACTTTCCTATTTCATTAAAGCGTCACCTGAAAAGTTTTGGAGATCGATTAAGCCGAGTTCATGTAGCACTACCTCGTTTTCACAAAATGGGCATATCATTAATGATGAAACAGCTGTGCCTTATGCTTTCAACAAACACTTTAAATCTGTATTTACAACAGATAATGGTTTTCTTCCCATGTTCTATATGTCTTTACCACCTATGTCTGATGTCAGAATCACTGAGGAGAGTATTTTATACCTTCTGGTTAATGTAGAGGTTAAAAAATACCCTGGTCCAGATGATATCCCAAACGCCTTCTTAAAAAGATATGCAGAGTGATGTGCGAAGTATTTAGTCGTATTCCTCAAAAAATCTCTCACTGGCGGATCGTTGCCTGAGGACTGGAAAACTGCGAGAATCGAACCACTCTTTGAATCTGATGATAAACTCAATATTGCAAACTATCGGCACATTTCACTGACATCTAGTTTATGTAAAATCTTCTAACACATAGTTTATAAACATATAGTCGAATTTCTCGAAAAGTGTAAAGTTTTAAGAGATGCGCAACATGGCTTTATACGTGGGTGTTCTACAAGTACAGAATTAGCCAGAATCGCGCATGATTCTGCCGAAAGTGTAAATAAAGGATATCAGAAAGACGTTATATACATGGATTTTAGTAAGGCCTTTGATAAAGTATCGCATAATAAATTACTTCACAAACTAGGTCAGCACAAAGTAGCTCTGCGGTTATCACCTGCCCTAAGTAGATAGTGTTTTACAACTGTAAGTGCACTATTAAAAAACTATACAAAAAACTATACGCAAAACTCTGTACGAAAACTCCCCAGCTACAACGCAAACATAGGAGACTGAAAAATAAAAAGGCCAGAAATGCGTTTTGCTATTCAATAGATAGTTCTATTGCTACATTAGCAAAAAAACAGAAATTACAAATTCGAAGGGATAAGGCAAAATATTATGGTCTATCACTTCCCTATTTCATTAAAGCGTCCCCTGAGAAGTTTTGGAGATCGATTAAGCCGAGTTCATGTAGCACTGCCTCGTTTTGACTGAATGGGCATATCATTAATGATGAAACAGCTGTGCCTGCTGCTTTCAATAAACACTTTAAATCTGTATTTACAACAGATAATGGTTTTCTTACAATGTTCAACATGTCTTTATCACCTATGTCTGATGTCAGAATCACTGAGGAGAGTATTTTATACCTTCTGATTAATGTAGATGTTAAAAAATACCCTGGCCCAGACGATATCCCAAACGCCTTCCTAAAACGATATGCAGAGTGATGTGCGAAGTATTTAGTTGTATTGCTCAAAAAATCTCTCACTGGCGGATCGTTGCCTGAGGACTGGAAAACTGCGAAAATCAAACCACGCTTTAAATCTGGTGATAAACTCAATATTGCAAATTATCGGCACATTTCACTGACATCTAGTTTATGTAAAATCTTTGAACACATAGTATATAAAAATATAGTCGAATTTCTTGAAAAGTGTAGAGATTTAACAGATGCACAACATGGCTTTATATGTAGGTATTCTACGAGTACAGAATTAGTCGGAATCACGCATGATTTTGCCGATAGTGAAAATAAAGGATATCAGGAAGACGCTATATACAGAGATTTTAGTAAGGTCTTTGATAAAGTATCGCATAATAAATTACTTCACAAACTAGGTTTTATTATAACAAAAAATACTGTACTTGTATGGATTAGAGCTTACCCGGTGAACCGTTACCAATACGGTTCTGTAATTGACACCCACTCAGGTCGAGTTGACGTTGTTTCTGGTGTATCTCAGGGGTCCGTGCTTGGGCCTCTATTATTTTTGATATTTATAATTGACATCAACACTAATAATAATGTTACCTTAAACTTTATGCAGAAGACTGCGTGATTTATGAAAAACCTAGGTCTGTTCAAGATAAGGTAATATTAAATGAAAACTTCCAAAGAATCATATCATGGTGTGATTAGTGGCAAATGACTAATAATTACCACAAAAGGTCTTTTTTCGAATAATCCACAAAAAGAAACCACTTGTTTTTTCTTGCGGGGCAAACTGAAACGCTTTCTCGGAGGTCGATTAGGTTAAATACCTGGGTCTTTGGTTCACAAACAATTTATCATGGTCGAAAGATATTGATGTTGTTAAGGATAAAGCATCATGTAAATTACTCTTCTTAAGACGATCCTTAAAATCATCAACTTCTTCCATTCGTTTCCTTGCATACCAGTCCATTATATCTTTCATTCTTGAATATTTCGTACCGATTTGGGACCCATACACGAAAACAAACATCGGCAATAATGAAAGAATGCAAAAAAAGTAGTTCGTTACATATATAACTCAAATGGTCGTTGATCAATCACTGAACTCATCCAACGATCTTGGTTGCCCTCAGTTGCATATAGGGGTAGAATTTGCCGGCTAAAAACATTTTACCAGAAAGTTAAGGGTCATTATAACATAGACTTCTCTCCTCCTATCAATTATTCTCAGGGTTACAAAACCAGGCAAAGGCATTTTTTACGATGATTCTTTTACTTCCACAAAATAACTGCTTCAAATACTCATTTTCCTCTAGAACTATTATTGATTGGAACAACCTCTCTGACAATAATTTAACACAATCCTCGCTTACCTTCTTTGAAAAATATATGCAGTATCTCATTAGCACCTTTCAATACACTTATTTTCATTGTGCGTTCCAATTTATTGCATTATCCTGTTCGATTCGATAAATTTTCTCCTTGAAATTATAATTTTTTTGTGTTTATTGAGTTTGTCTTTGTACTCTTGCCTTCACAGATACTATTTGATGCTAAATTTTGTTGTGTTCTTGTTCATTTTCTTAACCTTATTGTTTTATCTGTGTACATTGTATTTTTCACATAATTAGTTTTCCTTGAAAACTATTGTGCCTTTTTTTCATAGCATGTATCAGTGTATCATACCTGCTATAGTCTCTGCTCGACACTGCAGTGTCAATAAATATCATCGCTTTGGCGCTCTTTGGCCACATCTGGCCATTGCACCAATAAATTCCACTAATCATCATCAATAAATAAAATCAATAAATAAAACTATCTCGAAGCCATGCTCTTTTCTGAGGTTGATGTACATTAATTTCGATTTTTGCAGATTAATTTTAAGACCCACCTTTCTGTTCTCCTTGCCTAACTCAATAATCATGAGTTTCAATTAGCCGCCTGAGTTACTCATCAATGCAATGTTATCAGCGAAGCGCAGGTTACTAAGGTACTCTCTATCAACACTTATCCCTAACTGTTCCCATTCTAGGCCTCTGAAAACTTCCTGTAAGCACGCGGTAAATAGCACTGGGGAGATTGTACCCCCCTCCCTTACATCCTTCTTGATTGGTATTTTGCTGCTTTCTTTGAGAAGCAATATGGTTGCAGTTGATATCTGTATATTCCTTCCAGGATGCTTATATATACTTCATCGATGCCCTGATTCCACAGTGTATGCATGACTGCTGATATTTCTACTGAATCAAACGCTTTCTCGTAATCTATGAAAGGTATGTATACCAGTTGGCTATACTCTGAGCATTTCTCTATTACCTGATTGATAGTATAA